CCCATTATATCAGCGAAGTCCTGTCTATGACGCGCGCGGTTGCGGTGCGATGTTCTCAAAAGATCATCCATTGTTATAGTAAGCATACCACATTTCTTCGTTTGAAGTTTTCTATTATTATGACATCGGTTGTTTAGGGCCGCGATCCGCGAAAGTCACAAGAATGCCAAGTTATGGGCGAAAGTCCTAACACCAAAAGAGACCTGGTCGCACATCTCCTTTTTCCAGGCGAGGGCGCTATCCGTTGCGCTACCCTGACCATTCTTACCCCTTCATTCTAGGGTAAGAGGTTCTGGTGGCATAACTGATAGCGCACTTGCCTTCCTTTCGACCTGCACACATGACTCAGCTTCATGCAGGCTGAGGAAAGCTAGTAATTTGGGGAAGGTGGTGGTGTGTAAAGCGGGTTGTTAATGCTCCAATGAAATGCGCCTTTGCTGGTTTCATCAAGGCATTCACAGGCCTCTCGAAGCAATTACCTCATACCGAGTCGGTTTTGTTCCAGTTGAACTCTTTGGCGACCGCAGCGGCGCAGATGGGTAAAGCCACACGGGACGCATAGAGAACACTGGTGCCGGTGAACAACGTTATCGTCCAAATACGTGTTTCCGTCCTGGAAGAGTCGCTTTGGGAGGGAGTTTTTGGAACGCTTATGAAGAGAATGAACAGAAAACCTATTGAGGTGCTCATGACTGACTTACTTGGACCATAACCGCTTCGTGTGAGGCTCATCGTGTTCACCCGGTCGCCTCAGCATTGCGCGCTGCCGTCGCGCTAGCGAAGCTTGGAATTTTTACCTGAAAATCAGTTTTTAATTCGGAGTTTATTGGAGACCGAGTTCGGTACATCCAGCCGAGGAGAATGACCGAAAAACCGGTTCATATCGAAAATAGCAGCGAGAGGAAATGGGATGATGACGAATTTGCCAAATATGCAGTAGGTGGGGGCACACTGTGTGTGTGTCATCGAAAAATTACGAACAACTCCCATTCATAAACGTTTTATTCACAGAACTGGACATGAAAGGGTGGGTGAACGAAACAACAAAGACATCAATATATTTCAGAGAAAAAAGGGAAAATATGAGGAGCACCGTGGCTATAGTGAGACCTTGAAGACAGCCCCGCGCTCAAACGATTTATGGGTGTGCTTCTTTGTACAAACAGGCTGGCCCTCAGTCTCTGAGACTATCCCACTTTTGCAGCTTCACAATAAGTAACGAAAGCGCTGCGACTCTCATAAGTGGCAGTTTTGACGCCTCCCTAGTTGTCCCGCCCACCAAAACTCAATGGCTATTTCCTGACACGAGCAGTTTTTACACCACCTTTTTCGTTTTTTTCTCCACTGTAAGGTGGATTACCATTGGACGACGCGAAGAACCAATTAGTGAGCCAGAAGCAGCAGAATGGTAGCTTTGCTGGCACAAAACAAGGGGGTCCGTAGAACTCGTACAGTGAGGCTGCCAAGGAGCCTTGGTTAAGGTGCTCTCCATGATTTTTTTTGCTTTTTTCTTCCCTGGAGAGCCACTTAGCGACTATAGGCTTGTAACTGAGCGCCGCTATTCGCAATATGTAAGCAGCGTTTGTCTTTAAATTGCTTGAAGTTCATTTCAGCGGCGTTTGGCAAGCAAAGCGAACTTAGTTTATAGAAAGTGCTGAACAAAAAAAAATGAAAAGTCGGTAATAGAGATGCAGGCGGTCCATCTTTCCTCTGCTCAGAAGAATCACTTTATTCCACCAATCGCTTTCAAGGCAGTAGGCACGATGGTGGGGTGGGACGGTTCTGCCAATGTCATTGGTGGAAGTGCTGCGAGAAGGAGTTTGGCCACACCCCACTCCGCCTTTCCACCAATGACATTGGCAGCAACCAACCACCCCCAGCCATCGTACCCATTGCCTTATAGCTTCTGGTGAGGAAGGGATGGATGGGATAAAGCTAGATTGGTGGCGAAGAGTAGGTGAAACTCTGGTCCATATCTGAGGGCAACAAGGGGAGTAGTTGCGGTGATAGCTGCGATAGTCCGGACAAAACGAGGCAGACGTATGTCTTGAAGAGGACAGTGGACAAGCAGTCGTCGCCGAAACGCCTCTTTTCGCTCTAGGATACGGACTCTAAGTGAACAGATGTAGTAAACGAAACAATCTAAGGGATCTGCCGCGGAACAGAATAAAATCTAACAGATAGGGCAGAAAGTGGATTGAAGTAGCATAGTGGCAACGTGGCGTCGACTGGCACTTGGGTCTGCCTCTGTCGACCCAGGTCTTAACCAGCGACAAGACGGGGCAAGTACCTCACCAAACTGGACGTGGAGTGAGCAAGCGCGGAAAGACTTTGGCTGGACCCCCCCCCCCCTGTGCAAGCCAAGACACACACTAGACACACACTCAAAGTCGATTAGAACCCTTACAGGCATCTTATCATAAAATGCCACTGACTGAAAATGATGCTGCTCCGCCTCCTCGGGAGGAAGCGGTGCAGCCACGGTTGAACATGACATAATGCTCAATCGACTACTCAGCGAGCGGTCGCACAACTACCACGAAGCCAGAATGGTGGATCCAAAAAGTACGTGGAACATACTGGTTAAATATGAACCAACGATTTTTAAGAAAAAGTAGAGCAGCGTAAAAGTGCAATGCGAACGCAAGGTTCAGTGAGGTGTATAGCGTTACTAGGCGACCGTGTTTGGGGACTTGAAGCCATCTCCACTCCTCATTCATCGGCATACTAACTATAACAAAGAGCTATAACAAAGAGCCCGATTATGAAGAGTAGCAAGTAGTTGCCTTGGATAACAGGACATAAAGTTGATATGTATAACACTTGAACGGAAAACAATTCTGGGTGCAGTTCGGGTTGGTAGGTGCATTTTAATGATCCCACTGATCATTGCCATCTCCTGTGTAAACCTGCGACCTCTTGTGGAGCTATCAACAGCACGTGCTTCTTCTACCCTTTGAAAGAGTGTACAGGTCTCACGAAGTTGAGACTTGTAAGTTAACAAGAAGTAGTAAGAGAAACTAGCAAACTAGAAGATTTCTTCCCCCCCCCCCCCCTCGCGCACCTAAACCGAACAGCGACCCATTTTAGGTGTTGTGCAGGGCATCCGAGCCACGCGTAGCGACTAGCAGAGTATTTTCATCTAAATGACCTCGTGCAGTGCAGCATTGCCTGAATTACTTGGGAGCTGGTGCGAATGCCGCGCACGTGCCACCACTTTGTATGGCTCTTTCGCTGTGATCCGCCGCTAAACCACATTCAATACCGCGTAGTCAGTCTCATCAGTCTCGAACCATGTAATGGCCTTTAGCCTTCGCGATAAGACTGGATAAAATATCACGACTCATGGACCGTAGCGCCCTTTGTTAGCCGCTCGATGCGGTTTGCAAAAACGTTAAGAATTGTGAGCGCTGTCCGGCATAGGGGGGAGGCAGAACACTTTGTACTTTTGCTACTCCTTTTTACTAGTTCGTGTCAAATAACAGGTTTCACTTCCGTAAAACCTAGAAGCCTTTGTGAACCTGTGAAATAGCTAAGTGAGCCACTTTGGTCACAGCGATTCACACGTCTTAATGAGGTGATCCGTACAAGCTCCACACAGTACCATTCTGTGCCCCCCCCTACCAAGTGACCCGAGCTATGCGGACTTCTTTATATCAGTAGTGTTGAGTATCCGATCGAAAATTGGTAAATGATTGATCGGCTTCTATTCCAACAGTGCCAACACTCTATAATCTGGTGAAGGCGCCCAAACTGGGCGAGTGGGCGTCGGGTCGGTAAGTTGCAGCTCGATAGGGCGCTATAAGGGTACCTTTCTTGGAAAAGGCGCACGCAGCGCTGCTCAGAGGCGCCGAATTCCGTCCTACGGCATATTAATCCTACACGTCTTGGGGATTTGTCATGCCACTTACCTTTAAATGTGCAGATTCTCAGTGGGACCCAATCGACTTAACATGGAAGGGCTACAGTATGTTGAATGAGCCATCTAGGGAATACCAGCTAGCCTGATCGCATCGCTTCAAGGTGGATCTCCTCATCGACACCCCCTATCTAAACAGGGACGAATTTCTAGAATAAGTGAGCCAAATGCTCAAAAAGTAGTGAAGAGTAAATGGGCTGTGAAGTAATAAT